AAAAAAATCAACGAAATACTCGATTATCAACAACGGGATTCGGACACGTACAACAAATGGGTGCACCGCGACTTGCCGACGGGATCGGTGCGACTTCACCTCCAGAGACAAGCTGGACAGGTGACAAAGATCAGTTGTCCTCGAAGCGGACGCGCTTCTTGTCTCCTGTAGTCGCTTTTCGGGGTGGCATATCCCGTGCTATTAGCGGGTCAATATCCGCTATTAGCTTGTGCAAGTCGGAGTTTGTGCGACGTGACAATGGCCGCATCAGGACCACCTGTAGTTTTTTTAGATTTTAGTCATAAAAAACCTTCAAAATAACTAAGTTCGGAAATCTATATCACAAGAAGTTTTGACTGATGGATTTTAGGATGCCTAACTGCTGAATTAGTGACTCTGCCATCTTGACAACTTGCTATTTAGAGATTCAGAAGTACGACCGATTAATACGAACTTCACCTATGACTGAAAGAGTTCACAATCCTCACAAAATGAGATGCGATTATCTCCTAAGTCATAGCTCAATAAGTTTTTCATAGCTTACATAAGATTTTCAGATTTGAGAAAATTTAAGCAAAGCCCTTCTTACTCTATGGGTACTCGAACTCACCCTCTGCTTGCCGTCGCTGATGTAAAGGAAAGCGATGGCGATGAGGATAAGCAAAGAAATTGCGGCAAGAACAGAAGCTGTCACCGTTACCCATGCCGAGCGCGCCTCGTCCTTTTCCAATTGTGGATCTACAGCGCATCTACGAGCAGCTGTCGCTAGACATCCTAACACACCTGCAAATAATCATATGAGAGTGTTTCCAACAATTTTGGTTGAAAAATTGCCCTACCATCTCCAACATCGCTATCTCCAGCTTTCTCCAGCCATTCTCCCAGCCACTCTTCGCCACATACACATTGCCAAGCGTTTGCTAAATTGAAAATTTGCAGACGACTCTACTTTGAGTTTTGTAAAGTGGAGATATTCATTAGACAATCGAGTAGATAAAGAAGACTAAAAGAGACTATATGAACCAGACTAATTATAAGACTCAAGTAAATAGCAGCCAACATTAGAGCTGTTCAAACCTTATTGGACAGTCCTTTAAAGCATTGTGAAAAAATTAAAACAAAATTGTTCGTGCTAAATCTATCAACATATATAACACGGGAGTGGATAGACTTCTTTTGAGGAAAGCGCGGAAAGAAGGCAATGAAAAAAAGTAGAAATGGAAACTGTCAGAAACAACTTGTTCCAACAACCATTTTTGGCTCCTTTATGTCTCTCTGAGAACTTACAGACTTGAATGTAGCTGGATTCAGCTAGCGGGACTAACATTTAGGTACACTCAGCTCTACAAAGCTAGAGCTTTGGTCGGACTTCATTCAGAAGTGCCCCAAAGTTCCTGTTCACGAGACATGCCTTAACCTTCACATATTTAATCTATCTTAAGCTATTTAAGATGAAATATCAAGAAAATTTAGATAAAAAAATGAGAGATTCTTGAAAGAGGGGGTTTCTACGAGAAAAGCGTGTTCATAGGCTAGATATGAATTCCAAAAGAAATAATTTGCTATGAGTTTATCGTATCGCAATTTCCCAGCAGGCATTTTGTATTTGCACAATTCCAAATGTTCAATAAAAAGTGATTGGCAAATAAAGTGGTCCAATTGCAAGTAAAACGATTTTCTCATCATGAAAAGTGTAGAATTATCTCTTGCTTGTTTTCTTACGACTGCCTACGTCATTCGCAAGTTGAGATGACTGTTCAGGGAATGTCCTTGAACCTCTCACTTTGAGTGCTGCCTCCTCATTCACAAATCCTCGAGTTCTCTTTTGTTGGCACTCTTTCTCTTCGGTTGCTGCAGCTGTGTGTGTGTATGTGCGTGTGCGAGTGCTTTCGGCAGAGTGTGCCAGGGTGTTACGGGAACAACGGGGAGATATCGAAAGTGAGCAAACTGACAAACTGGTCGATGCCCCACACGTAATCAGCTCGGTATTGGGTAAAGAGTTCATCAAACTTGCTTTTCTGAGCTTTACTTAGAATGGCGACTTGATTCAGGTAAGAGCCATCCCTCCATCAAACTAGTCAGAGTAACATTTTTTCTCTAATGTCGTCAACTCGGATCTGTGATATAATCACTCTCTTATTTGATAAGTTTTTCTCTTCTAAAAAATAAAGCTGTTTAGCGTCAGATGCGATTCAAATCTGTACTAAAGCCCTCAATTT